GGTTGCGGGCTCAATCCCCAGTGGGGGGTGTGCAGGAGGCAGCCAACCAATGATTCTCTCTCATCATTGCTGTTTCTATCTCTCTTTTCCTCTCCCTTCCTTTCTGAAATTAATAAATATATATATATGAAGTGGGGATGGGAGAGGGGGCTGCCGCCTGGGCGGAAGGGGGTCTTAGCTAAACGCACTGCTGCCAGGCCCCGCGATGGCGTGACGCTGTCTGCGCTGTGCACGGGGGCCCGGGGGATCACCCTGCAGATATAGGTTGTCTCCTGGGCCCCTAGCTCTTCAGGACGAGGTCCGAGAAGGAAGGCGCTGATCACAGGGTTTGCAGGCCTACATTTTAATATGTGCTGCCGAGGGTCTACAGAACTGTGCCCTTGACCCTATGCTGCGCTGTGAGGAGACATTCCCCGCCCTTAGCTTTGGGCTGTGCTCGCTCCCTCAGGGTCCTCCCCCTTCCCCCTCCCCCATCAGCAGCAAGCAGGGGTCTGGCCCCACCCTTCCCCCACCGCAGCCCACACCTCCCGGGAGGGAGGGAAGCAGATCCCTGCCAGGCCCTCCACCCTACCTGGTCCCCAGGGCCTAGGCCCCCCACCCGCCCAGGCTGCTGGCCAGAGGCCGCGTGGGAGGGGCTGGCACCAGGAGGCCAGGTGACTTCGCCACAGTCTCCCAGGACCCAGACCCAGGCCCGCAGGCTGTCCTCACCAAGGGCCAGCAGCTTCGCCTGCCAATCTCACACCTACCTCCTCCCCTCCCCTTCTCAACTCACTCCAGTCGCCCCTCCCATCCTCTGTCACGAACCCCATCCCAGTGCCTGACACCCACACTCCCGCTACAGGGAGGCCCCGCCCAGGCCCACAGACAGGATGCAGGAGGAGGGTCCGAGGGAGGGGCAGGAGGCAGAGCCCGCTCCGGGCCCCTGTTCGCCCAGTCCTCCTGCGCCCACTCTCCAGTCACCAGGCACGAGGGTCTGGTCACTCCACCTGTGCCCGGAGGAGCCTAAGGCTCAAGGTCCAGGAGGCTCACACCAGGCCCACACCAGGCCCACCCCAGGCCCAGGCACCTCCCCTGGTGGCATCGATCTCCACCCGCTTGGAACCCCTGGGGGGTGGCCTGTCACTGAGGCGCTGAGATCGTCCTGTGACCGTTCATGTTCCCGGTCCAGCACCATGGGGCGCCCTGCCCTCCGGGAGCTCACAGTCCACCCGGGAGGCGGGCAGCCCGAGAGAAGCAGCCCCGATGGGAACGTGTCCCTGGAGGCACCGCACACACGTGTGCGCGGAGATCACGCACGAGCATTCCAGCCCCGACGGGAAGCACCTGATCGTAACTACATGAATGGCGGCACTTCCATTCGGTGGGACACTCCCCAGCAGGCGCTGACTGCGCCAGCAGTCCTAGATGACCTATGAACGAGTGTGGGGGGCTCTGCTCCAATAAAACTTTATTTACAGACACAGAAATGTGAATACAGTCTAATTCTCACATATCGTGAAATATTCTTCTTTTGATTCCTCCCCTCCCCCAACCATTAAAAAAAATCTAAGAACCGCCCAGCCAGTGTGGCTCAGTGGTTCAGCGTCAACCCATGAACCAGGAGGTCACAGATCGACTCCCGGTCAGGGCACAGGCCTGGGTGTGGGCTCGGTCCCCAGTGGGGGACGTGCAGGAGGCAGCCGATCCATGATTCTCTCATCATTGATGTTTCTATCTCTCTCTGCCTCTCTCTTCCTCTCTGAAGTCAATAACAAAATATTTTTTAAAAATCCAAGAACCATTCGTAACTCGTGGGCCGTACCAAAGGGCCGTGGGCTGGGCTTAGCCGCAGGCTGTGGTCCGCAGCCCCTGCTCTTCAGCAGTAAAAATGAACCAACGCCTGCCACGCCATCTACCCGATAGATCTTCAAAAACACGACCCTGAATGAAAGAAGCCGCCACAAAGGAAGATACGCGGTATCATCCTGCTCATCCGTGCCAAGGCCAAAGCGGGCAGGGCTGTGTCGCAGGGACACGCGGCGAAGGGGCGGGGTGCCGGGGGCACCGGGGCTCAGAGGCCCGCACTGCCCTCCTCCTTGGCCTGGCGGTGGGCACACGGGACTTTGATTTAGAGGACGTGCTGTGCTTTTCTGTGTGCCTCGCCTCTCCCACTCTGAAAAGAGAAAGCAGTGGCAACAGGCCCGGCAGCAGCGGCGTCTGAACCCCTGCCTGGCAGGCGTCTATAATCCGCCCGGACGCCGCCCAGCGGGGCCCACCCCACGGCTCTGCTGAGCGCGGCTCCTCGCCAGTCAGACCTCCCAGCTCTGCCTCTGGCCTCCCAGCCTTGATCCCTGCTGGGCCTGCCACCCACCCACCTGCTCTCTCCCCTCCTTGTCTCGCTCCACACACACACCCCACACTCCCCCTGCCCACCTCCAGCGGAGAGGTGCTCTCTGCCAGCCTCCATAGCTCTTTATTGGGGTTAGACGCCGGTGAAAGGCAGAGGCCGGAGCTGACGGAGGCCGGAGCTGTGAGAAGGAAGGCGGGAGGCTCCCGATGTCAGAGGGAGAGGACCGGAGTCCAGAGCAGACGGGAGGCCAGGCAAACCCGCATCGGTAACTCCCGGACAATCTCAACTTCCCCCAGGCTGAGTGGGGTTATGTCCTGTTCGCCTCTAGGTCCCCCTGTCACCCCCTCCGCCCCCCTCCCCCGTGCCTAGAACGGGTCCTCCTCAATGGATATTTGAGAAATAACACGGCCCAGGGCTCGGGAACGGCCAGGAAGAGAAAGGGGACTGACATTCGTTGAGGACGTTGAGGCTCAGAAAGGTGAAGTGAGCTGCCTGAGCTCACACAGCAATGGGTGGAAGAAGGCAGGACTTGCGCCTGGCCTGCCGGGCCCCACGGCCCTTGGGGGTGGCTGGGCCTGGTGGAAGCAGGGATAGAGCAGGTGTCCAGGCTCAGGAGAGCAGGTGCCCCCGAGACCACAGGCGGCTGCCGGGCCCTCTGAGAAAATGGAGCAAGAGAGATGCCACCAGGGTGTGCTGGAGACCCGGGAAGGTCAGGGGCCCCGAGGAGCCGGGGGCTCACCTGGACGTTGAGCCCGTCACCTGACTTGCGTTTGGTTGGCTCTGCGAGGCTGGCGGGCGCTGACTCTCAGAGCCCTAACCATGTGCCCCAGCCACTGGGTCTCAGTATGTGCTAGCAGGCGGGCACGGCTGTCACACCCATTTACCAGATGAGGCAACTGAAGCACCACGGCCTCAAGAACCTGCCCAGGGTCCTGGGGTGAGATCAAACTCAGGCTGATCGCCCCGGCTTCCCTGACCACACCCCCTGAGGCCCCTGGGGACACAGGTGAGGGGTGCGGGCTGGGTCTGAGGGCGTCCATGGAGCCGGCTGCCCCAGGCTGATGGCCGGAGTTGGGGGGGGTCAGAGGATGTGGGAGCGACAGGGTTCCTTCTTCAAACCCTCAAAGCCCAGGACAGGACTGCAGGGATGGGGCCAGGAGGGCGGGCGCTGTCTGCCCTCCCCCAGACGTCCTAGGGGACCACAGGTGGTTTCCCCTCTTGTGAAAGAGCAGTTTCTCTTTTCATGATTTGCTGCAACGCAGGGGAAATCTGTTGTTTGTTTGCAGCCGCGATGTTACAAAATGCCGCACTTCACAGGGCAAAGCCTCCCCCACTCAGCCTCCAGGCTGTCGGGCCCTTTAGGGGAGCGGGGACCCACAAACAGAAACCATGGGAATCTGGGGAAATTACGCTCAAAATGACTAAGTGTGAGGTCAAAGGCATAGTCCCCAACAAGCTGCGTTTCCTAGGCTGGTCTCTGCACTGGCCCGGCTCCGGGGGTGGGGGGCGGTGGGCAGACTTAAGGAGACATGTCACCGGCTGGGCCTCGAGGCCTGCGCAGGCACCATGCATTCTGCTCTTGCCTCCCTGGGGGGAGGAGGGAGATTTCTTTTTTTCCTTGAAGAAAGTTCTTTACAAAGGAAGGCGAGTGGAACCCCAGAGCCCCCTGCCTTGGGTCCTAGTTCAGGGCTCGGGCTGACCCAGCCGAGAACCTGACCTCTACTGGCCCGCTAAGCCTCGGACAAGCTCCTGGCCGCCCTGAGTCTCCGTGCCCTGCTCCTAAGTGGTGCCAGTAGGGACAGCACCCCAAGGGCACCTTGAGGGGCGCTGAGCTCAGAGAGGCCGGTTCATGGTCATCGCAGCTGCTATGTTCCGTGTGAGCGAAAGGCAGAGGGGGCGCAGGCGGCTCCTGACCCTCACGGAGGTCGGGGTGAAGAGGGAGAACCGCACCTAGTCGGGGGGTCCCGGGTCAGCGCTGCCCTGAGCACGAGGGACCCCAGTGTGGGCAGCCCTGGCCGGGCACACTCCTGGGGGTCCCCTGGCCTGGATGAACTCACCCCAAGGTCACCCACCCTGGTCCTGCCTTGGACCCGGGCCACCCAGCTTCCAAGGGGGCCCGGGACCAGGAGGGGACTCAGCGTTGGCCCCGGAGAGGCCTGGCTCCCGTTGTAAAATAACGACGGGGCCCCTGGCTGTGTTTCAGGAAGGGGTGGTGCCCTCCTTCCTGGCGACAGCGACAGTTCTGTGCTCCAGGTTAGTCTCTGGCGGGCAGCCCCCCTCCCCTCCCCTCCCCGGCTGACACGGGCAACATCACCACCACCACCACCAAGGCGGCTCTGCACTTGGCGGGCTCAATGTCCTGCTTCTACCTTAGATCCCTTGGGACTCTCACCCCTGCACCCAACCCCAGTGCCCACCCACCTTGTCTGAGGGCCGAGGCCAGGCTGTGCTGGGAGGGGGGCTGTCAGCACAGAGGGCCCAGGGCCGCCCCCCCCTTCCAAAGCCACCTTGCGAGGCATCAGCTAAGCAGCCCCTGGCCCCGAAGGCTTCCCTGTGAAGTCTGCAATGTTCAAACGCAGCAGCAAATCCCCCGACGGGAATTAGCGCAGGCGGCGGATGAAAGCGGCTCTGAAGTGCAGAGCCAGCGACCGGGGAGAAGGAAGACAGATACCTGTGAGCCGCAGGGTCCAGGGGGACAGGAGCAGGCCCAGGAGCCAGGGGGCCGCCAGGGGGGCCGCGAGGGGGCCCGGCGGGGCCCACCGCCGCGAAGGCCGGCTCTCCATCGGGCCTCCTGGGCAGTGTCTCTCCTTCCTCTTCAGTTCCCAGGGCAGGACAGCCCGCTGGTAGGCACAGTTCCCCTTCGTGTCCCCACACCAAGCTCCTCCCTGGCCACCCTCTGCTTCCTCTAGGCTCACGCGGCCTGCGCCTCTCAGTGACCCCAACTTCCTGCTCCAGCAGTGGGAACAGCCCCCCTTCTCCCCGCCTCCCCGCCAGGCGCCAGGCGAGGCTGCCAGGTGAGGCTCTGGGCTCTCCTGCAGAAGAGCTGGGGGTGCTGAGCCTCCTAATCTGCCAGGTGGGGGGCTCCTCCCCTCCGGACCCCTTTCCAGCTGGTGGCGGGTCCAGAGACACTGGTGCCTGAGGGGACACAGATTTCCAGAATAATCCGGGGCCTGGCTCAGCCACTTACCCTGAGACTGGCTACAGGTGCCCACGTCAGGAAACCTTCCCCTTAGCAATAGTCCAGAAGCCCCCCCCACCAATGATCTCATCAAAGAGCAGGGCTTGGGGTGGGGTGGGAGGAGGATCAGGAAGGGGCAGGTGGATGATGCAGGAAGGGCAGGCAGTTAAGGTGGGGGCAGGAGCCACCGTTCCCAGCCCCACACGTGTGGCGGGTCATTAACCCAGCAGGGCCATACCGTCCCCACAGAGGCCCAGCGGACGCCCCTCTCGGCCCACCTCCTGCAGCTCCCCAAACCTGAGCCCCCCTTCCCCCCAGGAGACCCAGGAATGGCTTCCCCTTCTGGCCCCAGAGGACAGCCCCGTCCTCGCGTCCAGCAGCACAGACATGGAGACGGTCATTATTTGCCCACCTGAGCTTTTCCTCTTGGCCTCCTGGGGCCCAGCACCGGCTGAGCTGGGGGGAGTGGGGGGACAGGTGTCTGGAGGGACAGAGGGAAGGGTCGGGCGAGGTGGTGATGAACTGCGTGCTGGCGCCGGGAGGAAGCAGGGCCCAGGAGGTTGGGTTCCAGCACATGGCGGCCTTCACCTTCTTTCTCCATTAACCACGACCAACGTTATTATCCCAACCGTACAAAGGGGAGCACTGTGCCCCCAGAGGCCAAGCAGCTGGCCCAAGACCAAGGTGAGGGCCCACCTTCACGCCCCGCTGTGTGAAGCCGAGCCTGCCCCCACCTCCCCCCGCAGCCCCCATGGGTCCAGTTTCCATGTTTTGAGCAAGCTTCTCCCCGGCCCACCCCCACCACCGCTTTGCACGTGAGCGTGAGCGATGAAAGCCACAGGGCTTCCCCACCAACGCCAGGAGTGCTGCGAGGGGCAGGCAGGAGCGGGACGCCCACCAGGTGAGGAAGACGTATGAACGAAAGACTGTTCCTACCGGCAGGGGGCGGGGGGGGCGGTGGTATTGACTGCCGATCCATCACGATGATACATGCAGCATGTGTCACGGGAGACACAGGTAATCTGCTTCACGCTGCTCCTGAGCTCCTGTGGGGAGAGGCTGTCTAAGCACCCCGATGCCATGGTGATAGACGCCCCGTTAATGCCTCGCGCGGAGGGAGCGTTCGAAAGGCATCGGTCTGAGCCTCTCGGTGTCTCTTTATGACTCGGCATCAGGAGGTGGCTGAGGACCAGGCGGCCTCAGGACAGCCACAGGGGCGCCAGCTCCGATCCTGCCTCCCCTCCCCCACTCTCAGCCCCCCCACCCCCTTACGCGGGAACCGTGCTCTCTGCAGCCCTGGAGCCTTGAGCGTTGCCACCTGCCTGGTGCCTCCTGTTCGGCTTCCTCACCTCTGCCCCCCAGTGCGGAGCGCAGAGCCGGCACCTAGTACGTGCTCAGTAAACACGAACGGGTGCGTGCACGGATGGTGAGTGGCGTCAGGGGATAAAGGGCCTCCCCCGAGGCTGGCTGTGCCCAACACCAAGCCTGGCACAGAGTGGACTCCCGCGGGCTTCAGTGGCTGGCAGGCCTCCCCGGCAGGTCCCCAGGCTGCAGGGCACGGATGTGACTGGAAAGGAGGCGGGTGGGGTCTTGGGTCACGGTTGAGTGTCTGAGCCACAGAGAGCCACCAAGCCGCCGGGGAGAGGCGGGAAGGGGCCTGGCAGCAGCCAGTGGGCCCAGGACCCAGAGTGACAGGAACCACAGAACCTCATTTTCATCCAAACTTTCCACCTCCTCTCACCCAAGCGGGAGTCCCTCCCCACCCCCTGGGAGGAAGCTGCTGATGAGAAGGGCAGA